TCTGGAAAGTGACATGATGGCTTTCCTTATACTGCAAGGTGATCTGTACCCCATTTGTGCATTTGTATTTGCTACTCCCTCTCTTTTTTAAAAACACTCTCTGCAAAGTCTTGTTGCACAAAAAATTAGGCTGCTTGCTTTGTTTGTTTATTTTCTGCACAAAAAAGTGCAAATGTTTTGTGTAAATGTATCCTTTATTGATTGTCAATAACATGAACTGGCATTCTCCCATCTTTTTTCCACAGATTTTCTTTGGATTTGCATGCAGTTCCTGAACTCGAGCATTGCTTGAACAATCTCTGCATGTTCACACCTTTGCATCTCTTTTATTTCTTTTTGCAGTGCGTTTTTTGGCTCAGGAATAAGAGTCCACCTTAATGAGCTGGTGTGTCTTCATCCTATTCTCTTTCAGGCTTTGCTGGCTTTCTGGTATCTTACTACATCCATTTCTTATTGATTCCTGGCCCAAACACTGAGATCTATTAACACAGCCATTGCTAGAAATTATTCCTTCAGTTCTGTATTGAGCTTAGCCTTGCTTCTCTGAGCAGGCTGAAGAAACAGCTGTAAACAAAAGGGCTTTCTCATTTCTTTCTTTCACATATATATATAATCACTGAAAGTCACTTAATGGAAAAGTCAGTTTGTCCCATGGGTGTAAAATAACAGAGATCTAAACGCATACTGCTTTGCCTATGTTTGATGTTCTCATATCAGCCCTTTGGCAGACCAGATTCAGTGTTGGTGTCAAAATTACAGTTCTAGGGTGCCATAGCCAGGTTCTCTTTCACTCTGTTAGTTGGCTGTCGCTGCTTCATCCCATTTTCTGCAGGGTGGGTCTTTTAGTTGATGAAATCTTTAACTCCTCTCTAGATTCCCATCCTTGACAATCCCAGCTCTGGCAACAAGACAGTTTTGAAGAGTTGTCCCTCTGCAGGTGCTAACCTGGGTGTTGTGATTTAATGTCTGGGTTCTCTTCTCTAGGTTATTTTGCTCTTTCCTGCTTCATTCCCTCAGCAATGCACAGAAGCAAATCCATCATAAACCCATGTTATGGCATCTGTTTCTCAGTCCTCTGCAGCCCTCATTTCCAAAGGAAAAACAACTCTAAAGGGAGTCTGTGAGTCACAGAAAATTAAAAAATTGATAGCAAGAAGGTATCAAAGGAAAGCCCCTGTTACTGGAAGCATCCACCCATCCATCCATCTGATCTTCATGGAGAAAACTGTTCCTATTTCATCACCTCTCCAACCACATGTACCTTATAAGACACATTATGGGAGGAGATCATAACTACCTGTTCACAAATATGGTTGAGAAAGGGTTGAGTAGGGAAGGCAGGCATGTTGCTGGAGATGATAGCTGTTGAAACAACTTGTGGGGAAAGTCGCATAATTGTGGAAATCCCATACCAACAAAAAAAAAAGGGAGGAACCTTTCATTCTTTGCTTATCAAAGGTAAGAAACAAATGGAATGAAGCAAGAATAAGAAGTTAAAGCCTAGTGGCTCTTATTTGTATGGCTTCCTTATCCTCAGGCTTGACCTAGCTTGCACTTGTCTGCCAGTAGCACAGCTCATCTAATTTTAAAAGATAAGGTATGCTTGAAAGGATGGCTCTCTGCCCAAAGGACCTGCAGCCTGATTTCATTAAAAGTCAGCTATAAATCTTTACAAGATTTCCATTATTCTTGAGGCAGCCTGGTCTTTACGTGACTGACAAACTGAAGGCATGATTGATTTTGGGCAGCACCTATTACATCCGGATCAAATGGGGATTCATTATCTCTGTAAATCAGGCTCTTGACAGCTCAGGTTCTGAAACCCAAATTTCTGAGCACTTGCTGCAGTGTAACCTTCAGTGGCACCTATCCAGAAAAAGACCAGCATGTGCCACTCCGGCTTAGCTTGGTGTATGTCTATTGGTGTGATTGGAATGACATTTTATTTTGCTTCAGTGGATGGGCTGTGTATTCAGTGCCTGTCCGTCGCAAAATTGCCTTTTTGCTGAACTGAGAGAAATGTAGCAATTTCTTGGAGTTGTATCTAAAAATGGGACAGATCACTAGCTTGTAGAAATTTGAGTTATTGCCTGCTTTTTAGCGAACATGACACATTCTCTCTTAAGGGTAAATCAGCGGTATAGCATCCAGAATGCTAACGCAACATTATGTCCCAAATTCTCCTCCGGCTATCTTGTATCTCTGAGGCTTTTTTCAATACCTTGGTAAAAGCCCAGCTTTCTATTTCATCAGCCAACACGTAAGGGGATTTTGTAACGGCAAATGATTCTTCATCAGACATTGCTACACTGCGTAGTAAATAGCTTACAGAAATTACTCTAATGTTTTAAAGGCTTGTTTTTCAATGTTCCAGTGTTCAATGGAAGGCCTTCATGGCCTTTGCCTGGTATTTTTCTACACTTTGCCTAGGAAGGCTGGGTTGGGCATGGAGTGGGAGTTGGCCTGAACCAGCATCCCTGGGAGGCGGGACGGGAGGGATTTCTTCCTTTGGAGCAGCTCAGTTAGGAGCAATGGAGAGCCCTGGCCTGGGGGAGGCACTGGCTCTTTCCACAGTGGCTTGTTCCCCTTGTTCCCAATTCTTAAGTCAGACCAGAAGGGCAGAAAGTGAATTTGCTGGGCCTGGGTGGAGACCCTGCTTGCTGGAGTCTTCAATAGGTGTGGCTGGTCTGGAGTCTGGACATGCAGGTTGGCAGTCAGGGTGGCTTTGTAGCCACCTGAGAAGCCAACAGGAAATAAGAAATATTTCCATCAGGAAATAGGGTAGTAGTTGGAATGTTTGCCATGTCCACTTTAGGATGCAGACATTTGGGACTGAAGGGGATGATTATTCCCCTGGATTAGCTCTTTGATGGCCAGATTTGGCCTTTTTAAGAGGTTTGATGACAGAATATATTTGTGCAAGGTTTCCTCCAAACTTTGATTATACATTTCAGGCTTCATTTACTGCTGTCACCATAAAATTTCTGTTCCTATGTCTCTATCTTTTATATTTCTTTGCTCAAGGAGGTGCTAGAAGTCCATGAATTTAGAGGTGGGTGGAGGGAAGAGGGGGGATGACTCGGAGAAAAGCTTAAGTTCTTGAAAGTAAGGTGCGATAGTGATTCAGATCCCTGTTTCTTGGGACAGCCCATTGGTTGCTATGGCTTGGGTGGGGACCTGAGAGGTGCGATGGTTCTGTTTGCGGCTCCTGTTGCCTGGTTGCTGGGCACACGCTGACCTGGCCTTTGATGAAGATGGTCTTGCTGCAATAGGACTTTGATTGTAAGCTCTACTTTGCTCTTGGTCCTAGTCTTCAGATCACAATTCAAGTCATGGCTGGCTGGTTTGAGATGGACTAATGAAGACTTTAGATTCTCCTAAGAGGGCAAGTGAGGAGACGGTATTCAGGAAAACAACAGTTATTTGGAGAGAAGACAAATCTGAGCTATTAGCAATACCAGTGCTGTATTTGATGCTGTCAAAGCCATTGATTGGCTCAAAATTAATGTAACAGCATTTTTTTGAATTTCATGATAGCTCCTTCAGAAGGAAGAAAAGCAGTCCATTGTGGGGAAAAAAACCTAAAGTCCTTCTTTCCTGAAATAAATACTGACTCAGAAGGTGGCAGACCCAGCTCAAATGTAGGATACCCTTGTGTTGTAGGACCCTGAAAATAGTCAATAAACAGTTGTGCGATATTAATGTAATGTAATATAATATATATAAAAACTGTAAATAGTCCTACAACAATAAATGTATTCTAAGTATTGAAATTGAAAATAGGCTAGTTATGCATTTGTTTTCTCTCTCTTATCCTCCTGTTATTTTTACTTCTGCTAGTAAAGCCAAAGGAAAAGAATAGTAGTCAAGCATTCACTTTATGCTGATGATTTTCTTCTTCGTTTTAAAACTCAAGTTAAAAGAAAATGAATATCAATGTAACAAAACAACAAATGCAATCATTTAGACATGTCAGACATCCTAGAGAGAAATATGTATCCCTGGAGACAGGGAGAGAGAAGGGTCAGTGTGATCATATAAGAAATCTTTAGCTAAAACAAAGTTCAGTCTCTCTAAGAGCATCAGTGACTTTCTTGTTACTTAGAAATTAACCCATTTTGTATCTCAGGGGAATTGTATTAATTTCAACTTGTTGATTAGAAAGTGCATTGCATTAGTGAATGATGCCAGTTGGTGAAGAGCTGAGCAAGTGCCAGGAGAAAAATGCAAAAGGCCACACTGCAAAATGTACTTTGTTCATTTATTTAATGAAACCGAATTTTTTATTTAGAATGTTTCAGTAGAAATGCAACAGAAAATTTGGTGTTTTATTTAAATGAAATCTGATAATGAAGCAATTTACTATGGCACTGTCTCTCCTTGTAAATTTGGTGGTGGTGTCACTGAGGGATGAAGTGGTAAAGGGGGTGGTACGGCACCTTTTCAAATCAATAGAGTGTTAGGAGGGCTGAGGTTTGGGGGTTTTTTAGCAGTAGTATCAGATGTAGTTTAAAGTCCTTAAAATTCTGCAGTTCTGATTTTCAAATCACAAGAATGAAGAGTAATATGCCTCTGTAGTCCCTTGTCCCTAGTAGCAAGGCTTTAAATAGCTATGCTTCAGATTAAGAAATCACTGGTGCACATTAACTTTCAGCTAACATGTAAGGAGTAAACTGTATTAATTGCTGAGTTCATCCGTCTTGAATGCAAGCTGATAGTGATCAGATGTGAAAAAGAAATCTAGTACGGTTTGTCAGGTCCCGTTTGTGTAGGACATGTACAGTAATTTGTTATGAGCTGTAGGTACTTTAGATTCTGCGTTGTCAAGTGCTTTTTTTTTTCCTCTCCCTCCCTCCCAATCCTCTCCCTGTTAGGAGTGCTAGGAAGAGCCCAGGAGCCCAGAAGCCTATAATCCTCATCACTGAAGGAAAAACACAGGAAATGTGTGTCACGCTAACAGCTGAGAGAAACATGCTTCATATCAGCAGCAATTAAAACTGATGGGCAGCATCATCGGAACCATGGGGTGCAGCAGTTCTGTAGCTGACAGAAGGTCAGAGAAAGGTGAGTGCTGCCTTTGTCTTCAGGGTCAGTGGTTGTTCTCTCTGTAACACTGGAAGAGGATTGCAGGGTAAGATTTCCCCCCAGTCCTGTTGTCAAAATACTTGTTCAGAGAAAATTATTTTCTAATTATCTTGTTTTGAAAAGAGTGCATAGCTTTTAGATGCTGGCTGAGGTCAGAAGGCAACTGTAGACCACCGCTAACATCTACAGATTGGGTCGGAAAAGATTCACAGTATCTGGGACAGAAGCTTAATTTCAGATGTGTCTGTGCTCGCTCTGTCACTGGCAAAGCATACAGGGTAAGGTATTGAGGGGGACCTTTTATGGCCTTTCACAACACGGGATTCCTGGGCAAACTGCCCCAATTTCCCTGCTGCTGAGTGACCCCGATTATGAAATGTGTAATAAAGCAGAGCTATTATGTGACTCTCAGAATCAATTTTCTGCCATACCAAGTGCCTGGCCTGAAATTCTCTCTGACAGTCACTGAGGCTGTCAGTTGAAAGTCCCCACAGTACCTGGTTAAACGTTCAATTAAAAAACTAATGCATCATCCCCCTGCTTTTAATCATACCACACCCTGGTATGAACACACCAGGCTTTGCACAGGCAGGTGGGTTCCAGGATTGGCTCAGAGCTTTGTTCAGACCCTTTGTGTTCTCTTTCAAGGTTTGTCATTAAACCACAATTTGCAGGTCTGCTGAGAGCCACGTTATGTGGCACTGTGCATAGTCTTAGGAGATTATTATGCTGAACAGCTATGGTTGAAAAGGAAGGCTCTTTTTGGCTACCAAGCAAGGACACAAGTCACAGGAAACTGGTGACTAAGAAGCAGGAGCACTTAGTCATGGCTACAGGGATCTGAGCTGACTGATCTAAGGGTAGCCCTCAGCTTCGTGTACACTACTTGGCAGCCACAGCAGTGGAAGTAGAATGGAAACATCTGGAGTCCCAGAATGACCTGTAACTGGGAAGTGGCCCTTCCTGTTCGGGTTTGCATGTTATGCGTATATGTGCCTTGCAGGGCCTCAGAGACGAGTTAGTGGAGAATATTTCTGAGGGTGCAAAAGGCTGGAGCGGGCATAAGGAGCTGTACTCTTTCTCAGTCTACAGCCATGAATACACATTGGTGTGGAACCAGGCTTTGCTACCCCAAAGCTGGCTTATAATTTTGTGTGCTTGTTTGGCAATGTTTTGTCCTCTCCAGTTGTTGGAGGGTATTCTTTCTGCACTTCAGCAGTAGTCAAATGATGCTGAACCGTCACTTTATCTGCAGCCTGAGGCTGTACGTCCCTCTAATGCAATAATAACATGAATTTAACAGGTACTTGCTGGTGTAGAGACCTTCTGCAACTGATAACAATTTCTTTTACAGATGCAGTTTAGCCTAGTGTGAAAATCATGTTCTGACTCAGTCCTGAGAATAACAGCGCTGTAATAAGTACAATTAAAAGAAAAATGACAGGAAATGTTCTGTTAGATTTGCAACATTAACCATAGTGGTCGATATATATCTGCCTTATGTGGTACCAGTGGAACTGTGCCGTGTTAAGTGCTCAGGACCATTAAGCAACCCAGGGGGGCTTTAATGGGAATTTTAATGGTTCTGATGCTGGAAATCAGTTTCTGTGCTGGTGGATGTGCTTTACCCCTTTGGTACTCTTCTAAACAGAAAAGTTGATGACAGTCTTGCTGTGATGTGTCAGGCTTTCAGATCTGTGGTGGTGAATTCCAGAAAGGACAGAAAATAAGAGAGGTCTCGGGAGTTTATGTAGGGTACAAAGGATGCTCTTAGTCATATAAGGATTACATTTCCTTCAGGCAGGGGGATTTTTCTAGGACAGATGCAATATCTGTAGGATGGGAGTCTTTACTGACTTTGGCCTTATCTGGACTAGAAAACTTTCCCACTTTATACTGTATACTTATAATGGTAAAATAAGCAAACAATGTGCTGTTATGGCACCTGTAAGCATTTTTATAAAAAAGCTTCCATAATGTTATACATTTATTAATAGACTCACTTTTCTGTCGAAGTTTTTCTTTACCTGCATAACTGTCAGTTTAAGAAAAAAATCATCCTAATCTCAAAATCCCTGGTATTTGTCATCAGCTAAAATAATTGACTAGTGTAAACTGTTGTCCTTCTAGTACTGAGCTTTTCTTTGCTGTTTTGCAGGGGGAAAAAAAAGCACTAGTATGGATTGTTGGTTGTTATTTCTTACTTTGTTTTTCAGTATCAACTGTTCATTTTGGCAACTGTAAAAAATATAAGCATATTCATGTTAAGACATTAGTGTTGGTTTTAGTTTCCTCTTTTTTTTCTTTTTCATTAATTGGCAATACTGTGCAATGGTGATTGTGTCAAACTCTGGAATTCAGGAGAACGTCTCAGTTTTGTTTCCATGCTTCTCCTGATCGTCTGTCATCTGCTCAGAAATGAGCTCTAGTTCTTGGGAGCATCAGGAGATAAGATCAGTGTATTCCTTTGGTCCTTGTATGTTTGATAGAGTTGCATTGCAGCTGCTTTGACTCATTCTCCCAAGATCAGAAGCATAAAGACTTTTTTTCCATGTCCTATGCTGAGCTATTCAGGGTTGAGTTCCTTAGGAGACTTCTTGAAGTGAGGTGTTAGCTGCAGGGCTGGAGGGAAAGGCTTGACATTTCTGGCCCTGTCTACTTATTTACTGGTATCCTGTTGAGAGTACAGTGGAAAAAGAGGTACGGAAAAAGAGGTAAGGAACCAGTCAAGAAAGAATTATGTTCAACTTTAAGTGAGTAAGTGTGACATCTCTTGAGAGCAGCCTCCTACCTTACTCTGTTTTTTGTTGCCAGTCAAGAATATGGCAGTGGCAATGTGGTTGCACTGGGACAGGTGCAGGATCCAATACCCCTGCTCTCTGTCTTCCTCTCGGTGTTACGCAGTGATGCATGTAGTGCCTCTTGACCGCCCCTGTTAGTGCTTTGCAGGGCTAAGCATGTTAATACGGAGTCCCCTTCTAACCATAATTTGAGCAAATGACTTGATTTGAATTTGCCATTATTTCAGCTGCTAGATCTTCGAGGCAGTAGTTGCATTTTGTTCCGATTTTATATAGTAAATGGTGTCCTCCTCTGGAAGATAAATCCATACTTACATATGCCCTAAGTATATGAAATGTGCATTTATTCCTCTCTAGCTGATCTTAAAAAAAAACAGTTAACAAGTGGCCGAGGAATGCTTTTCTCAAAGTTAGTTGATCTTTCTGGATAAGCATCCTTAAAGCATTAGAGAGTCACAGCTCTGTGGAACAGCAGAAGTTACTGCTGAGCTCATCTGTTGCCCCTCTCCCAAGCTCATGGTTATTTCAGGCTAAGCACAGCCCCTCCAGCCTTCTGCTTTCTCTCCTCCCTCCAGGTCTATCAGAGTTGCAGTGATCACCTGTAATGCTGAGGGCATGGCTGCCCACCTTTCCTCTTGTCTTCCTGCTGCTGGTGCTGCTGCCACCCACGCTTCATGCCCCAGCTCCTGAGACCTGCTGCCCTTTGGGTGCCAGGAGTAGCAGGGGGGATTGGCAGCATGGTGGGGAGGGATCAGGTGGGCATCAGCTCCTGGAGCTCCTGTCCTTCTGCACAGCTCTCGCTGGTGGCCACTGTTTATGCAGCAGTAACTGCTTGGCATACGTGTGAGGAGCTCTCCGCCCAGGGCAACGCCCACCCCAGGACCTCTTTGTGCCACCAGCTGTTGTCTGCTTGATAAACTTTTCTCTGAGCAGCTAAGGGAATGTGATCTGTTTGTGGCATGACTGGGGCCTGTAGGCAGCAGGCCCTTCACCCTAGGGTGCAGTCTTGGTGACTGTCCTTCAGTGAAGTTTCCAGCAGTTTTCCAGGTAGGGACAATAGTAGACACAATTTCTTAAAGTGCTGAGTGGGATGTGTATTCTGACATGTCCCATTGAATTCTTGGGGTGAGTGTTCCTTTGTTCACTAAGCTAGCCAAAGATATAGCTGTGTGCCTTTTGGCATGTCTATTTAAGCAACTATTCTGCCTTTCAATACCATTTGTTAATATTTTACCCTAAGGTTTGAATTTTGCTGGCTTGCTGATACAGCTGTGCAGGCAAAAACTTTCTGTTAAAAGAGGCTGTTACAAACTCTGTCATTACACAGTGCTCATGTTACAGCTTGCAGTCTGAAGCTTTTTACTGCAGCTTGGTAAAGAAATACGTTTTGTTGGTAGGCCAAACTGCTGCTCTTCCTTTCCTTACCTTCTCAAAACCCACATAACTGCCCGTCAGCTGAACATGTCTGACTTCTTACATGGGTACTGCCTTCAGGACAATGAAATGGGGAAGGTTTCTAACAGTATAGGCCTGAGCAAGTCAGCTAGTTTGGGGTCTGTCCCTGAAGACAGAAACAGTAAATGCATCATGTATTCATTATCAGAAAGCACTTCTTAAGTCTCAGTTTTACAGAGCTCCATCTTAATGTCAACTGTGCACAATAGACTGAATCTGTCATCTGTCTGCAAAATTCCGCAAAGGTAGCATGTGCGTTTTCATTGTAGATTACGCTGCATCCACATGTGCTCCATTGCTTTCTGTTTTGACAGTCATTAGAGCTGCTATCCTTATCCAGAATTGGTACCGCTTTACAATGGCCCGGCTAGAGATGAGGCGCCGCTATTCTCTGAGTATCTTTCAGTCAATCGAATATGCTGATGAGCAAGATCAACTACAGGTTTGTAATCTTCAATTCTTCCTGTACAAGCAGTTATGTTATCCCCAGAGGACTGAAGTTGCACAAACAAAATGGCTGTGTGGTTATTTCTACCTACAAAGCTGTGTCCTGTTATAATAAAACCACTTCCCTGCCTCACACATGAACTAATTAAGTTGTGTGTATATGTGTGTGCGTGTATATCTATATCTATACACACACACACACACACACACACACACATATATATATATATATATATAAAAAAAAATTATGTAAGCAGCAGGACACCATTCTGCCTATACAACCGTACCTAGGTTAGAGGTTCCTGTAGAACAGCTCTGTTAGCCAGGGATTGCAGGTCATCCCACTATGGGCGATCTTAACCGTGTCTGTGAGGCAAGACACGTACAACAGAGATATCAGTGTCTCAGCATGTCAGCTCAGGCTTCCTTTAGGGTCAATACAGGGAATTAGGAACTTCCAGGGCTCTGTGTTCATCCTAGCACCAGTGTCTAAAGTCAGTTTGGTGCGTTGTAGCAGTTTCTTTCTATTGACTATAAAGGAAGTCTAGGCAAATAGTCTGCATGATGGGCAAGATGAATTACACCCAAAAAGGTCAGCAGCATTGATACAGCCCTGGAACTTTGTATGTATTCATATAGTGTCAATCTGCTAATTCATAGCAAAGAAGGAAAGGAGTAAGCCATTTTTTGTAGTAGGACACAAGTTGTGTCGTTATTGTAGGCTGATGCTATGGGAACGTACAGTACTGTCTTAGATCCCCCTAAATGGGAAATGGCTAGTAATTGAGTAAGGAAAGAGAATGTTAATGCTTGTTGCATCCCCTAAACTGATTAGTATGTGTTTGTTCTTTTCTTTTCCCTATTCAGCTATCCAACTTTTTTACGTTCATGCTGGATCACTATACTCATCCTGATTCAGGTAAGGATAAAAATCAAAGTAATATGGAGATTCTGTTTAAAAAAACCTGATGCAAGGAAAGTTAATTTTCAATGTGATGTTTACAGCCTATGGCACGTACTGGGGCTAAGGTTTGATTTCTCAAATACCATAATGAGAATTTGATCCTCTAAGTGTTGACTCTGCTCAATGTCTATTCAGTGAGTCAAGATGTAAGACAGGACAGATACCTGTGCTTATGAGAATACTCAGACATGCTCAGAGTGCTTTCTTCTATGTTACTACCGTTAAGCTGTTCTCATGGGAGTCTGACTTAGTCCAATTTTTACAGCTTTCTATGCATGTTTTCTTAAACTATGAGATGTGATTATCCAGAAGGAATGTGTCTAGTTGGTTTAGGGCAGGTGTAATCAAAAGGATTGCCTTCAAAGAGGTTGCTGCTCTTCTTCTTTTTATTTTTTTTTTTCCCTGAAGCAGTTCTGGACCACTCTTTAATTTAATTTGTTCTAGATTTTGCTGCAAAACATCTATCAGTATGTGAATGATTAAAAATGAAATAAATTTAAACTGCTGGAGATAAATCTTTAGAAAGCATCTCAGTTAAAGCTTAGTTAGTCAAAGAATAACCTTTAATTTTTGAAGTATTTTGGGATCCTTGGACAAAACTTACTTTTGAGGTCAAGCTCAACAGAAGGACGGACTGAAAGTGACTTCCTAAGTCCAGAAAACAAACATGACTTCCCGGAACAAATTGAGAATAGATCTAACCCCAGCAGAGTTAAAAAGAAGGCTGTCCCTTTCTTATTGAATTACAAGAGAATGTCCTTTCTCTTTCATCTGGTCCAGCCACAGGTTATTCCAATTAAAATTTGCACAGGACACTTTGACAGCAGGATAAAACCACCGTCAAAACCATAAGTGGTTCAGTGTTCTAATGACAACCTTTAGAAATGGCAATTTTTCTCTCTTAAATACTTTAGAGTGCCTAATGCTCTCTGTGCTCTGCAGAAAAAGAAATTATGTTTGAGCCTTGCTCCAAAGCCAAGGCAGATGATACAATAGTCCTTCCTTTGATTTTTTTCCATTACCACTGTATTCTGCAAAAAAATCTGCTTTAGTCATTTAACTTCCTGGAAGGGAATTGGCAAACTCAAAGCAAATCAGACACTGCTCACTTTGTCTGCTTCTTCTGCATTCTGATAGCACACCTCAGTTCAGCTTTTCCACCTGAGTGGGAAAGAAAATAGTAGCACTAGGTCTGAGACTGGGAAAAATAGTGTTAATCTCTATTTTCATTAGAATATTAAAAGGGAATTTTACAGCTGCTCATTGTAGATATGATTGATCCACCTTTATTAACTGTGTCTATTGACAGAAGGAACAAAGGTGAGTGAGGTGCCTCAGGTTACTTGCTAGGGCTCAGGAAGTGGCTGAGTAGAGCACACTGCTACAAGTGGGCAGGTGGAGATCCAGGCCCCACCCGTGCACAGGGAGGGGCAGAGGGTACTGTGGGCTGCCCCTTGTCACCACTGCACAGGTGACCTGTTTTTTGGTCTTGCAGATATTGGGAGATGCGGACGTGGTTAAGGCTGAAACACATGATAAAGTGTGAGGTTTATGGTAAAGCTCCCCTTTTGTCTTGCTTGCTTAAAACTTTCATCTGTTAGGACTGAAGTTGTTGAGGCTTGATAACTGCTCCAAAGGCTTTATTTTTGTCTTGGTTTGTTATTTCCCCCTTTCTAACACCTCGTGTTACAGATACGTGCTAGCCCTACTGATTTAAGCAAAATCAGTGCTGAATAAAGTGATTCTTCATGAACTGCTTCCAATTCTGCTGAATCATGGTTTTAAGATGTGAACCATGGTGAGTGTAAACATAACAAGCAGAGAGGCTTCAAATTGACTTTGTGATTCCCAAGCACTTTCTAAACCCCACGATTCTCTGGCTTGTTTTTTCATCAGTGTGTGCTCACTTACATTAGAGTGATAGCATATGGTTCAAAAGCCCTCTCCAAGAACACAGTATATAATATTCTTACCAGAGAATAGGTTGCTTGTTCTTCTCAGTATGTCATGAGAAAGCTACCTGAAGATTTTGTGATCTGTGTTTTTCCTTATGTTATAAACCACTCAGTCTCTACTATTCATCTTGTCACTTTCCTCTTTTTAATCTGCTTTTTCAGAATGTATTCTTCAAAGAAAGAAAGCAGCCACTATCTCATTAACACAGCAGTGCTTTTGATGTGATTGTTTATCTGTTGTACCCTGAAGCTTTTTTCATCCTGTCATCCTGCTTAAGATGTTAGTGCAGTTTAACTTGTGATTGGGATATTATATAGCTGTGCATCTTGTTCTTGTTCTGCATCTGATTAAAGGCTATTTTCCAAGGATTTGTGGGAAGTTAGAATTAAAAACTTTTCCACCTTACACTTTTCTGCCTCCCTCCCCCCAGAAATCTGCATACCCACTCAGACTTTCAATTGAAACATCTCTGGTCAGAGAAAGCTGGAAACTGCTTTTCCAGCAAAAGGTGACCCATCTACTAAATCTTTGGTGGGTGTATTGAGGGTGAGAAGGCTGCAAACATGTTCTGGGCAAAGTGGTGGGACTGGGAGTCCCAGGCACCCCTGGCTGTGCCTCTCAAGGTCACCAGGGCAGGAGCCACACCTCCTGGAGCCTTCCTTCAAAAGGGAACAAAAAAAGTGCTGTTTTCCGCAGTTTCACTGCCCATGATGCCTCCCTTACAGCCTTAACAACCTTCCAAGGCTTTTTGCATAGAGTGATTCTTGCAGTGGGGAATAAATCACAGCCGCTTGCAGCTACAGCGCCAGGAAAAGAATGAAGGAATAAATGTTTGGAGCGTTATAGAAATCTTCATCCTCTTAGTGGGCTCAAGGTCCATCTGGCTTTGACCTGATGGCTGGGGATCAGTATCTGGCAGATGTAAGAGCACTCCCCAGGAGTCAGAGGTGCTCTCAGGTACCCCAGTGGTTAGTCTGAAGGCACACAGATGGTGTCAGAACAGAGAGCTTATTTCAGAGCCACAGAAGTAGCTGATTCCCTATTACCCTGATAGTGGTAACATCCTTGGCAGTGGTGTCTTTGACTTGCCTTGAACAACTCCCATGGCGAGGTGGTCTTGTCAGGAGAACTGGGTCCCTGGGCTTTCTGTGGCCAAACAGACTCCATGTAGCTCTGGGCTTTTGTGTTTAACATGGAATATAGCTATTGTCCTGTAGGGTAGTTGTATGGGGTCTGCTAATAGTGAAGGCTAAACTCGCTGAGTTTGGGCTAGACCTCTGGCGTCAGAGTACAAATCAGGTCATTCCCTGCACTCTGTAGTTGGTGGAGAGATGCAGATACTGGCAGAGGGTATTTCAATCCTGTCTTAAGATGGGTGCCTGAACTAGGCATGTCAAGAGTTTTTGTCCCTATCTCTCAATATGGTCTGAGAGCCTTCACAGCTTTGACTAGAAGATGGCTAAAACGAGAAGGGTGCCGAATCCTTCAGAATTAGTCCTGCATGGGGCTTGTGGTGAGCTGGGGTGCTCGTCAGCCAGCACACTAATTCCCAGGCTGCATTAGGGCATCCATTACTGACTCCTCTGACAGCTGAAAGACTGCCTGAGGAGACGTAAGTGCACTCTAAGGCTAATGACCATGACTTGCTTTTGACAACTCATCCAGGAGTGGAAAATGGGGTGTATTTTGCAGAGATATGCCCTACAGGGAAGGAGATTGGGTTTCTCAGCCTGGGCATATGCCAAAAAGGAAGCAAGGCTGTGAGGAAGGCAGGTTCATGTTCAGAGGTGAAGAGGGTAGCCTGCTGCATGCAGGAAGGGAGGGCTGCAGTAGGAGCAGGCATGGGCAGGTGTCTGCCTGCCTTGAAATGCTGAGAAAATCGCTGACTCTGAAGGAGTCGTGTCAGATGAGGAGAGCCTCTGGCCAGAACAGGCAAGCCGGTCTGATGAACCGGCTCCGTGGTCCGCAGCCACCCGCTTCCTGAGAGGCAGGGCACAGAGGGTGATGCCATCCAGAGACCTGCTGCTAGAGCTGGGATGAGACTTGGTGCCGATGTGCTTGGCTGATCAGTATGTGGGAACCAGCAGTTTCAGTCCATGGGTGATGTTCTGGCGTCAGGCCAGACAAAGCTGTAACTGTGGTGGACGACTGCAAATCAGGCTGTACTTGGTGGAAATGGTGCACCCTGAGCACCTTGCTGTTATTTGATGCCTTAATCCATTTACATGGCTTTACACTGAATGTGCTAATCAGCTCACAGCAGAAGAGCTGATAAAAGAAGCTTTTTTTTTTTGTAATCCAGGGCTGATAAAAAGTATATTTTTATCTATTTTTTTCTTTAATATGGACTTTATCCAGTTACAAGACAAGCTGGCCTTTATGAGTCTCATAATTTATGAGGCCACATGCCCATTTTGGCTGCTGTGAGTTTTGAGTGACAGCCATGGGTATTCCTCCAGCAATAAATAATTCATTTTTATTTCCAGTTGCATCTGACCAAGGTTACAGAAAACTTACCTGTAGCCCAAGAAAAAGTGTTTACAACTCTGCAACAGCAGCTGCCAGAACACTGTCTTCTAGGGTCTGGTTCTCTCTTTTAGTAGGATATATGATAAAGACAATCTGCAAGAAGAAAACACTGAAAACTACTGTTCACTCAGTTACATTTCAAGGGTACGTCAAGAAAAATTCAGTTTGAAGCAGTTAGCAATGTTCCTGCTTTCTCCATGTTCCAGGAAAATTAGAAGCTATGCTCTACTTTTACCGCTATGTTTTTGTTTACTGTATTTCATCCAGTGGTTTTATGGCAGCCAACCAAAAGCTGGCATTGTCTCCTCGTTGTGTCAGAAAGCAGTGCTTTGCAATCCACTGTGAATAAGTGGGATTTTGTTGATGACTTTTTAAATAATCACTGATCTGCTGGCATTTAGCCTAAAAATTTTATGTAGAAAATAAAAGCAATAAAAGTGAATCTTTAAAACGTGCATTAAAACTGTAATATTGAATTTTAAACAGATGATGGTCATTGAATGATCACCTATGCCTTTTGAATCTCCTTGCTTTGTGGGGGAAGGAGAAGAAAGCCTGTTACAGGTTATGTTTCTCATTACCTGTGAGAGCAGGCTGCCCCACAACTTCAGTGCGAAATGTTTTACATCCTGACCACAGCTACTGGCTGTTGGGAGATAGTTTTTGCCTGTTTTTTCTTTTTTCTTGGGTTTTGCTTCGGTTTTGGCTTTGTTTGTTTGTTTGTTTTTTAGTATTGTGAAACAATCTGGGGACACCTGGAGCTCTTCCACTGTACAAGGCAGGAGTTGGCCACTGCAGTACTGCAGCAAGTGAAGCATCAGTTACATTCAACCGGTTCTGGTCATGCTGTTATGGCCCTATGGGGGATGGCGGAGTTTCTACATTGTTGGTTTTCTTCCCTCTTGTTCCAGTTTCTCACATTTTCACCAGCCCTAGTGTTTCTCAGCTGGTGGATGAAGGCTTATGTTTAACAGAATTTGAAGAGAGGATTGATGTTCCAGACTCCTATTATGGACCACGACTCTCATTCCCCCTTACTGTTGAAGATGCCAATGCTCTTCTTCATGCTTTCAGGAATGAACAGGTAAGTCACAACTAGTTTGATTTCTTTTTACTTGTTTTACATCTCTGTCAAGTTGTAGCTCCACAATCCGTTGAATCCAATGTAAGGCTAAACTGGTGCCCAAGGAGATATTTCTCCCTTCCTTTCCATCCCATTACCCTTTCCTGCTACCCCGACGTGATCATACGGGTACATGGTGAGCTGTCTTGGGAAACCGATCTGGCTGGAAGCTAACACAACAAAATCAAAAGCAGTCAGTTCTCAGCCAGACCGGTTCCCAGATTTGATTCACTACTTGGCTGCATGACCACCAGAGGCAGCACTGGGGAGGGGCAGGGACTAGTGGGGACCTCCTCTTCTAGCATTGAGATTACAGTGATCACGAAAAGGGAACCCTTAGCAGCTGCAAGGCAGGGGCTATCAGTGAGGGTGCAGGGCTGGGGAAGATGTCCTAAGCTAACCTAAAAACTCCCCCCCCTTCTTTTTAGAGGAGTTGAAGTGCAAGGGTTAATCATCTCGTTCCAGTGTGCAAGACTCCACCATAATGGAAGAGTGAATATAAAGCATCGCTAATGTAGCGGAACAGGGTGATAGCACAAATCTCAGGGGCTTGCTGTCTGAGGCTGCTGAGGCACTGAGAAGGCTGTTGCTGATTCTCTGTGTTCCTGAGCAAGCCCCTTTGCTGCCCTCTTACAAGATGAGGGTGGGGCAGGGAGGCATGACATGGCACAGCTTTGTTTGAACTTGTGGTCATTTGTCCTTCACAATATACTGTAGATAAAGGATAAGGGTCTATCTTGCTTTTCATTTTACTAAATAATGGTGGTTTTTTTTTCCTGTAATTTGCTGTGGAGGCTGCTCTTAAAAGTAGCAAAATGTAAAGAGCGTGATAAATGAGCCCACCCAGACTTCACCTTACTGTCAGCTCTCTTTTCTCTTACTATGGTTGGCAATTTATTAAGGAAATGATTATATGTAATTGGCCTTTTTTGTTTGCTTTAAAAACATGAATCTTGAAAAGTCAGTCTGTAGCTTATCTGTCTCCTCTACTAAACTTCCTCAGAGCTGTGTTTGAATTAAAAGCCTTAAAAATCACTGACAAAATTATCATAAAAAGCATTAGCAGAGAAGACTAGAAGCTTCAATGTTGAATTCTCATAACAACTTCACAGCAAACAGGAAGATAACTCTTAATGAGACAACCCTTGCTGGAGTTTCACTCTCATTATTTTTGCAATTTGCTGAAATATCATTTATGGCCTTTGGGGCTTTTTTGGTTGGTTTGTGGTTGTTTTTTGGCTTTTTTTACTCACAGCTAGAACTACATCCTTTTTTTTTTCCCCCCGGTTACTTTGAACAAATGACCTTATGCAATGATTCTGAGTGCTGTATTACTCAGTCACTTATCCTTCCTGTAGATGGGAAGAGTAAAAACAGTACTCTAGAAATAAAATGGGAAAATATGTAAAGCGAGTTCATTAAGTGCTCTATATCCATTCACTGGGAAGCAAGTGCAAAGCTATGAACACACCTAATTCCCAGCACTAAACCATACAGCCTGTAATCATGTCTGGAGGTCTGTAATATAAATAATCGTGGCAATATGTGTCTGATATTAATAAAGCAGACAGACATATTGCTACTTCTAATAAGTTTCCCTTTTTGCCCTGCATTTTTTTCTCACAGCTGCTTCATGCCCGCTATGTACTGCAGCTACTATGTGAAACTAGGAGAGTTCTCAAAGAGATGCCAAATATCACGCATCTTTCAACTTCGTACTCCAAGGAGATAACTGTCTGTGGTAAGGTGCCAAAGAAGATAACCGCTTTGGGCTACGGGTTGATATTCTAAGTAGCTAGAGAATGATACAGACATTTCCAAATGTTGCCATTATAAGAAAGTTTTCGATGCCTTTTTTTTTTTTTTCTTCTGTTTTTTTCACAAATGCATAAATTGGAACAAACCAAAAAAAAAAGGTTCCTGAGTCACACTAAGTATATTTGAAGAAAGTCCCTCATCTCCTCTTCCTTTATCTCATTAAACATTTCTGAATGAGTCAGTATTAATTCAGCTAACACTGCAGTGTAACTTAAATATTCCTGCACTTCCATCTCTAAAATGCCACCGAGTATTTTGATCACTGGCTACAAGTCTCAGCACTTTCTCCTCTTACTGAGAAAAAGACTTTACCATCATAATTTACTTAGTAATGATTTTAATGAGGGCTTAATAGGGGTGGCAAACAAGACCTTTCATTGACAGCATGACTATCTAGAATATACTGAAATTATAATAAATCCTCATTTCTAAAGGGACCCAAGAGGATTGATCAGTCTGTATACAACCAACAAATTAGCCTCACAGAATGATGTGATGTGTCACAAGAACTAAGAGCTCATTGCCCGTCTATTTTGTTATGCTTTTGTAAATTATAGATAAAGGGATGCAGTATCCTGACTTGCCACAGAATGCAGTAGCTGCAAAACAGAACAGTAATGGTGACATTAACTCTTGACAGCTAGCAGTGTGTGCTGTGTGTAATAGTAAAGTGGTATAAGGAAGGGTACTGTGACACATGCAAAACAAATAATGTTTTTTTAAGATGTGGTTATGTACCTACTTTGATTGCCAGGAAAGGGTTTGTTTTAAATGAGGTTTTGTAGAACCAATAATTTGTTAACCAAACCAACAAAACCTCTCTCCAAACCAAGGAAACATGGTTTCATACTTGTTCACTACGCAGCGTGTTCTTACTAAGCAAAACATACCTCCTCATGTTTGTATTGCATTTGCACTATGTAAGCAGCATCTAAAGGATGCCAGGACCCCTCCCAGCTGTTGAAACAAATAGCTTTTGTAACCAGAAAGATCCTCTGCAGCAGGTGAAAGACTAATTCTTAGGCATAATTGGTCCAAAATGTTCATTTCCCTAAAATAAGGTATCCCTCTCCCCATTTTATTTTAATTTCAAATTAATAATGCAGATTAAATATGCACGTGAAATGTTTGCATCCACATACCTGATGAAAAATCTATTATCGCTTGAAGAACTCCTTAGAATTACTTCAGCAGGCTCATAATTAATAAAAAGCGGCACAAAAAGCATGTAGAAAGGGTAAAAATGTCACTTCTTTCCTACTTATTGGTGGTGAAAGCGTATTATCACAAGATAGGTTTTGAAACGGTTCTGTGGGTTTGTGATGGTGTCACAGATGTGAGAAGGTTGGTGCTGTGAGCATGAAGTTCAGTCACATGCAGAGGGGAGCTATACTGCAGTGATCCGTTGTGTTGGGGTGAAATCCCCCTGCCTGTTCCAAAATAAACCTCTCGGAAAGGGCCTAATCTGTCATTCCTGTGGCCTTAGCACTGGGGCATACAAACATGGACAGTTCTTGCTACTCTCCATCAAATCCTGCCTGTAGTAATCAAAACCTGGCCCTGAATCAGACAGATGTTCAGTTGTGCTGCATAGAGTGGACTACTTAGTGAATTTAAACCTGTCAGTATGTAGAAGTCTATCATATTTCTAAATGTCTTTTAGTGACATTTTCTGGTTTTCGCGTTCATAATATGTTTGTTCATCTTACTCCCACTTCCCTGAGTGAACCTTTGGCTGTGTGACTGGTCTGATCTTCAGATCCAGCTGGAAAGACAAAAACTTTATGCAAGACAATTGGATACTCTTTTAAGTATTTAATTGCCAGATTTTACAAGCAGCTTCAGCATATACCTCAAAATGAACCTAATCCTAATACAAGGCAAATTACTAAGGAAAACATGGGGAAAAACTTGTTAGGACTAACTAATTTCAGTTTTGTAATACCATTTCTTTCCTCTTCTGTGAGAAAACGAAAAAAAAAAAAGAAAATAATGTTTTTGTTTCCTGTAGGAGATTTGCATGGAAACCTGGATGATCTTTTGCTGATATTCTATAAGGTAAGGTAGGCAGTCTGTGGTGTAGCGTTTTCTCTTCATGACTTCTTGTTAAGAACACATATTTATGTCAGATTTATCACTGTCAGAACTGTACCTGTGGCATGCATGTACCACACACACAAATCCTGGAATAATTTGAATGGTGTCTTTGTTGTAGCTTTTTGTTGTCCTTACCCTCTTGGTCACTGTGAAGGAGGAGATCCAGGAGATCTTTCTCTTCCTAAATGAACTGGAGCATGAACCAAAACTTAAGAGGGTTCCTTGCAATGTCTCCAAAGTCCTGCCACTGGTTTATATTCCATATTGACTAAAGTCTTCTAAAATCAGGAGCTAACTTAGTTCCTGATGTAACAGTACACCATGGATAATTTCGGCCCTCCAGAAAAAATGCAGAAGCTTTCATTTAGGCCTTCCATTGATACCCACAAAGTGTTGTTTATTATTATTTGTTTACAGGAAACAAAAAAGAGTGCTAGCTGTTAAAAAGCTTTTTAAGTCTTGGAAGCAATAACATAGTCTGCACAAAATGGAAATACCTGGGCACCCTTTACATATCCTTGAACAGCTGCTTACTTTTTAATGTTAAAAAAGCATAGCTCTCTTTTACTGATGTGAAAAAAATAAAGCTCCAGGCTATCTTTTCCACAATTGTATATTTAATGGAAGATGCGGGAAATTTCCTATATTTAGTTTCACATTTATCTTTAGCATGAATCACCACCTTTCATTTAGCAGATACTCCCTTTGATTTGAGTTTTCCGGGGAAAAGGGTTTGTGTCTGATCCTTACACATTCATCTGCACTGAACGGAGACTGAGGTGAGCTAAACCAGGTGTTTAAATGATGTAATTCCCCCCTGCTTCCAACTTTGTTACACTTTATCTGACAGTTGTTGAATGGAAACTTGGATGTTTTGCCCAAGTGCGTACCTGAAGCCTGTTGAAGTATCATCAGACCTTTTTACAGAGTTCTGCTTTTCTTGATTAATCAATCAATTATGTTTACCTGGTCCTTGGCTTGCAGGCTTTTAGCTGTTATCTTAATTAGACCATCTTCCTTTTTGAAACTGAAATAAGAGTATGATACAGATTAGTTTCATACACGGGACCTGGAATGGGAAAAAGAATTATTTTGAAGATAAATGCTCAGATACAGTTATAGGTACAACTGCAATCAGTGTGAATTTTACTCTTTTGGAGTAAACAGACAATGATTCTTTTTCCCCTCTCTAATGGATGCTATGAAGAGAAAAAAACTCTAAGCAAGGACTAAATCTTGACTTCAGTAAATTCAGAGCCAAAACTCCCACTGACTTCAGGCACTAGAGTTTACCCCGAGTCATTCTCTGTTAAGCTTCTAGGGCGGTCCTTCCACCAAACGGAATAAAATGGACAAATATTTTGTCATTTCAAAGTGGTTGAGAAAAGAGAGAGCACATGATAGAACTGCTTAGTTATTCAGAAGCAAATTAAATGACACAGTATATTCTGTCCCTTCTGAGCAGTTTACTCAGCTGCGCAGCGAACCCCATCAGCCTCTGGGATCCATTTTTTTCTGCGTCCCTAACTCTGTTTCAGTTGGAAGGGATTTCTTTCTCCGAGTTGGTATGAACCACCCGTAACCTTAAACAAGAGGGTGCAATCCTAAACAGTGCCATGAAGAGTGTAGTGATCTCAGGTCTGCGCGGAGCCACGCAGAGCTGAAATGGCTGCTGAAGCATTTTGGAGGCCTGCATGCAGACCGGGTGCCTTAAGCGTGGGGCTCTGTCCAGGGAACTTTTACCACAGCACTTTTACAAACTGCTGACAGCAAACACACAGAAGCTAGCAATCTACAGCTTATCGATACAATGCTGGTTGTAACAGCATGGATGATTCTTAAACCTGGTTTGGGTGAGGCTAAGATAATTACTTCTTTCTCAATAGGCAGTTTGTAAGGTTCATTCAGTCCCTGCATTAATCTGCATTAAATTACAGCATTTCCTGCAATTCCTTGAAACCCTTGAATTTTAAATTATGTATTGCTAAGTTAGATTGTTAAATGGATGCTATGGATAGAAATAGCCTGAAGCTGTAGAAAATGCAAACGACAAACGGAAGTTAATTAATCACTAACCCAGAAGATACAGTAATGATGCCCAGCAGCAAGTTGCTAATCATTAGAGGGCCTTGTTCGCCTCTTTGACATGTCAGAGGCTGCAACAGCCTTTAATTTCGTTCTGCTCTTATTGTTGGTCGAAACCACAGAAAAGGAAATAAACACTTTGCATGAGTGTGGAACAAAACTAAAATGTCACATCAAAGTTGGAAGTCCAAAACAAACTCTCATTTAAAACTAAAAGAGTTGTGGGTAAGCTTTTAGAGTCTGGAGAGTGCTTCTGTAGATCTGTCTTTCCATGAGAACTGCAGTTAGGGAGTGGCTGTGTGTATACTGACAATCTGCTGGTGATTCACATGCCTATCAGTTTTAAGGCAAAGCTTTTATTAATTCATCTTTCCAGGAGCTGCTGCTGAGTCTCTCCTGTCTGTTCCACTCCTGAAATCCATCCTTTCTTTTTTAAAACCACTACAACCCACTGCCTTAGTAGAGTCTCATAAGTTGCCACTCTTGTGTGCACAGAGCAACCACGCGCCTCTTCTAAGTTTACTTGGAGAGAGCTGGGGAGAGGCTATGGCAAAAACCAAGCAAGCTGTATTTACAGCAGTCAGGATTGTGCCGCTGTGGGAATTGAGAGACCAGGATTCACTACTGCATCCCGACATAAAAGCACAGGACGCTGATTGGGACAAAAAAGAGATTTCCTAATGGATTCAAATTAAACATTTAATTGAGTCTCTGGCCAAATTGTGCATCCTGCAATAAACCTGCTAAGGCAGTACACCAGGGAATGCCACAGGAACATAGGAAGTGCTGGACACTGACACAGTGGCTGTATTTAGGAAGTGGGATGTCTTGCAATGCTGCCAAACCTGTTAAGAGTGGCTTCCACAGCTGTAATGTGATTTTATAGATGTTCTGTTGATAATTCTTGTGATGCCAACTGTGAAAAAAGAGATTTCCTTTTTCTGGCAAGTCAAAACTGAAATAGTATTTCTGATACTCATGTTTGGAAATGATGAAGCTACACATAACTGCTGCTATACTTTCTGTAAGCTGGTGGCACCGATTGACATGTTGATAACTAATCTAATGAAATGAAACACACCATCAAATCACAATACTAGCTTTTGATAAGTCACCATTCGTAATAAAGCAGTGCTCTATACCTTCAGAAAAAATAAGGTAAGAAATACCTGTATGTACGGCCTCTCAGGTTTGTGAGCGTTCAAGTATATCTTTGCCCTGGGTGCAGGCAAAGTGCGACGTGAGTAAAATTCAAGGAGTGCTTTCAGGATTAAAGCAACTGGAATGAAGGTTCTTCAGAGTTATGTATTAAGATTTGACGTCCTCTGGACTACAGTCTTTCTCAGGAGTTTTAGAAGCATACACTGCAAACGGTGTAAATATATGAAATCCATTTTGTTTACTGTGTAAGGAAACATAAGAACCGTCAGACTTGTGTCAGAAGATCATTCTTCATGGATTTCTTGTATTCCATTCAAAATGAATGACTTCTTTCTATTTGCAAGTGCGTAACTTCCTGGCAGCAGTTGCATTAACAGAAAAGTATATTTTATTAGAAGAATAATGTTCCTATTGGTCCCTTTCAATTTAATTTAATAGGTAGAGGAAAGGATTAGAGATGGCATCATAAGAACAGTCAGAGAGGTCATCTCTTCTCTGATGGCTCACACATGTTGTCTGATACAGAGATTTTTATTCTAAGCAGTGGAAATGTTGCATTTTAGATCTCTGTATTGTGCAGGTTTTTTGCAGATTTTCTAGCAATGTAATGTCATTTGAAATGCTGTTTCCTTTATTATAGTAGCATAGAAGTGTCTCTAAATGTCCTTGTTTTTGTTTCCTTCTGCAGAACGGTCTGCCTTCAGAACAAAACCGTTATGTCTTTAATGGTGATTTTGTTGACAGAGGGAAAAATTCTATGGAAATACTTATAATCCTGTTTGCATTTCTTCTTATCTACCCCAATGATTTGCACTTGAATAGAGGAAACCACGAAGACTACATCATGAACCTGAGGTAGATTTTAGGGGGTCAGGGGGAGAGAGTATCTGGCCTTGCACTAGAGATGTTGGAACTTCTGAATGCTGCTTTAGCCACTGTGGCACTCCAAAACAGAAATAATGTTTTAGTCTGTATTCAGGTCTGCATCTTCAAGATGTGTGAGGGGGATAAAGAACATCCTCATTACACACAGGCACTTGAACGGGAGTCATGTCTTATCTCTGACCTAATCACAATCTGTTGAAGTCAATGGGCTTAGTGCAGCTTCCAGAGCACCAAATTTGGGGAAAGGATGGAAGGATTATATTTTAGGGAAAGCACTGTCTGTTGCCACAGCATAGCAAAAGACATAATAGTATGCAATACAATGGAACTGGTAAAACCAGGAGCTGATACTTCACTTAACTTTAGACTAAGATGTCACTTCCCAAACACAAGGGGTGGGTAAATATCCTAGCTTCTACACCATGGGGGTCCATTAGTTGCGAGGTGGCGGTCTACCCCATTGGAGGAACAGCTGAGACCCTGTTTTCTAATACAGACATTTGTACTCGGCTGTACAGCACTGCCAAGGGAGTGAGCACAGCCAGTGTCTCTGACTGTAGTGAAAGTGTGACTTGTAGGCCAAATGATCTCACGGACATGAGAAGAACTTCTCAGTCCTGGTCCCTACAGTTCTCAGCCACCCCAGTATGTCTTTCGGTGCCTGACTGGTGGGTAACCTGTTGTACCCCTTCTGTCATTTGACGCGTGTTCACAGAATATATTGCTCTTTAGCCCAGGCATAGAGGCCCAGGTTCAAGTCCTATTAATGATCCATGTAAGGAATCAGTTTCACATGATACTTTCTTTTTCAGCACTTAATTTAAAAACAAACAAACAAACAAACATAAAACAAGATCAGTTACCTTATCTACAAGGTAGGAAAATTCCTACCCAAAATAGTGGAAAATATTAACTAAGTCTGTGATGGTACAGAGTGCAACATGCATTCCTGTGTGTGGCTCTTTGCTGGGCATTTTGATGAGCAGTGCTGCACATCAGTAGATTTGAAAGCTGAGAGTTAGGGTGTTGTAAAAATACCCCTTGCACCAAGGAGATCTTGGTGTCAAAAGAATGAGGTATCAAAATTCTTGTCCCTTGTGGGGGAAAGGACATGATAGACAACGCTGTCTAATAAAGTTGAGTGACTTAGAACAAAACCTCTGTGGAGGTTTTGTGGGAATTTTTGCCATCATCAGTTAGGTTCCTTTGAAATTTCTTTCCGGTATCTAAAAGATAAAACTGCTAAGCTATTTCATTTAGATGGGAAAAAGGCCATTTAATAATTAGTCATCTGGATTCTGTTCCTGATCTCCTGTATGTACAAGAAATCAGTTTAACTCAATTCTTGAGACAGAGCAGAAGAAAGCACATTTAAACAGAGGTGAGACAGAATGGCAGGAGAAAAAGAGGGATAGAAAACTCCTGGCAAACACTATAGAAAATCATGCAGAAGGGGCGTACTGAAAATCAGTTCATGATGTGGTCCTATTTTCAGATATGGCTTCACAAAAGAAGTTTCAAAGAAGTACAAGGTAAGATTCCTCCTCCTTCCCCTATATTTTCTTTGTAGTCTTGCACATTTAAAATGAAACCTGTGTAAACAAGAAAACTTCCAATCATCTTATTTAGGTGTAATACAGAATGACTTTAGTAATGTAGTTGAAGTTATTTTGGATTATCAGTGGAATAACTGACAAAACGATTTTAAGTGTTAGCCTTTTATGCTCATAGATCTATCGGATGAAATAAATAACATCCATAAGGTGACTCGAGAACACAAAAAGAGGTGCATGTGAAAGAAAAACAAAATGCTATAGAGGCAATCAAACGGCCCTAAAGTAAATGTCGAAACACGTTTGTCAGTGTTGCAGTTCAGGGTGTCACCTGGACAGACCTGTTCGTACGGGCTGTGGCAGACACTTCAGCAAAATCTTGAACTTAGAAGCAACAGAATCTGCCAGAAATAGGATCTAATCTAAGCGTATGTTTTACAGGACCATGGGAAACAGATTTTGTGTCTTCTGCGAGACGTCTTTAGCTGGCTTCCCCTCGCCACTATAATTGATAGCAAAGTTCTTATCCTACACGGAGGGATTTCAGACACTACAGATTTGGATTTCCTGAATGCACTTGAGAGAAATAAGGTAAGAGATCATATTCATGTGGGGGTAATTTTGTTTTCTTTAAAAAATTTAGCAGTACAAATGCTAAGATCAAGTTGTTTGCGTTAGGAAAGGAAACGGCTGCTGTATAAGGCACGTAAGGAAAAAGAGTCTTGTTTTTCTTCAAAATCAGTGTTTAGGAAGGAAGGCTTCAGTAGGTGTTAGGAGCCAATTGTTTGGCTGCTGTAAAATAACATGGGTCTTTTGACTTTAAAATAGCTAAAAACACTTCAGATAACGCCTTCCTGCAGTGATGACGCATTAGCCAGAAAGTATGAAAAGTACTTAATTCTCAGGCATTTCTAAACACTTTAGAAATCAATCTAGACACATGTTTTTAGCACAGCCTTTTGTCCTGGGGCTGTGCTTCTGCCATCTGTTGTGTGGGGGCAGTTTTCCACCTGCAAGGCGCTTCCTTGGCAGCAGCTGAGCTTTGCACATGTGGGAGAGCCTTTTCAACGCTTTTTTTTTTTTTTTTTTTTTTTTTTTTTTTTTTTCTGAAATGGTGAGCAAACACAGCTCTTTCAAATCAGCGGAAAATGGTGTGGGATTTGGTCTCGATTTGGACAACTAAATCGAGATGTCCGCTTATGAGCGGGGTGTTCAGGTTCCTTATAATCAGTGGAGATCCAGGAGATCTGGTGGAGATCCAGGTCTTATCATTGCTCAGACATAGGTCTCCAGTGCTGTTTGTGGAAGCACCCTGTAGCCGAGGGATGTCCCCCCCCGGCTGCCTCTGGACAAAGTCTTCTTCACACATCTCTTCCAGCAGTCTCCTTTAGGTCTGGTTCATATCTGCCCACCTCACGCTAATTCACAGACATGGTAGAGGATCCCAGATGGCACAGGATACATATGTTTAAGTAACCTTGTGTATCTTTAGTGTCTGTGGAATCTAGAGCTATTTCTCTCATCCTCATGTTTTCTAATACAGAAATAAATGCTTTACAGGACAGTCAGGTGTATCTCTGTTTCTTAAAGATGTGAAAAAGGGCAATGAATACTTCTGGTCATCTGAGTCTAGGCTCCGTTGGCTGTACCACTGTACACTAAAACTGGGTGCCTGACTACAGATGTAGGTGTCCTAACTGAGAGCCGAGTCCTGCCCACACTTTCACCAAGGCTGGGCTCAGCGTGTTACTGATGCAGTAGCTGTGAAATGCAGAATTAGCAGGTCAGAGTTGCTGCCACCGGAGAGCGTTGCTAATGAGACATGTGTGGGCCACAACTCAGGGCAGTATCACTCAAGGCCAACCGATGTATTTTAATTGGTACAGCTGGCAACTGACAGCTCTCAAATACTGGTCAGGGCACTGGGGTATAAGCCAGTGTTTTGGTTTGGTTTTTGGTTTTATTTTCTTTTTTTTTTTTTTTTCCCCAAAAATGACCCAGTATGAGAAAATTTCAAATGAGAAGAAAAGATACTCCCTGGAGAAGAGTCTGTATTAATGGGTGTTCATGGAGCCATAGCACACAGCTCCAACAAATCAAATGCCCATGCATATTAGAGGAGGTTGATTAAAATAAAAGGGCCTGATGTAATACTTCATCAGTTTCACTGTTATCCTCGTGATATTCCATTGATTTCAGTCACATTAACCTAGCAGCATGCTACTCTATCAGAGCAGTAGTGAATGCCGTTTCACCTTCAGTACAGTATACACGGATATTTTGAGTTTCCAGTTAAGCTGGGCACTTCAGTGTCTGCTCTGAGCCCAGACTGTACTTGCTGTACAGTGAGACCTTGTGATTGACTGTGGCTTGGAATGAGTCTGTGTGTGTTGATAAGAATATGAGAGCAGCTCTGAAGAGGCTGGTCACTGATGGATATAAAGCAAAATTTCTGCAAGTGCCAAACACCTGCAGCTTCCACCAAACCTGTGAGTTCAGGACATTATGGGAGTCCAGTATTGAGTACAGGACGTGGGAACTGATGTGCCTGTCAGCTGGCATCTCTGTATCATCTTGATGTTCTGGTAACTCCTTCAGTGTGTGTTTGGTTTTTTTTTTTTAAAGTTAAAATCTTTGATGCGGCCACCAAAATCAGTGAGAGACAGACAGGACCAAGTGAAGGAGAGAATTCCCACAACCAGACCCAGTAAACACATTGCCAACCAGAACGTTGCAGGGAAAACACAACACATCTCTTCATCGGGCTCCAGTGAGCCGTCGGGCTCAAATTTGCCATCAGACCCTGCCCTAAAGGAATGGAAACAGGTAGGTGAAACCAAAGACTGACTGATACCGAACCCCTCCTGCACAAAGCCAGCAGGTGCCTCTTCAGGCGGTATGTTTGAGCCTGAGGGGACTGTCTCTGAATAAGAAACCCATCACCCTTGGGAGTATACTAGCCAGCTATTAGTTCTTGGGATGCTTTTTCTAGACCTGGTGCTAAAGGCTTGTGATTTTTTTTACCTTACAAGTACAATTTACCCAGTGTTTTCTTTTCTTAGCCGTTAGGAGGAGGAAGCTGCTCGGTATGGGATGTGTTTGCATGCCCTCGTGTGGTTGGATCTGTTGGTACATGCGTGGTTGTCAGTTTAAATAGGTCACTTTGCAATTGTCGGTGATAGTGAGCACCTTTTTTTGGCTGTGGTTTTGGCAGCTGAATGCTGATACTGTCCAAAAACAACCCAACTCCTGAGACCTACAGGCTGATTACTCGAGAGTGGGAATTTTTTGTCCTCTGGCTGTTCATTTCCTCTTGAATATTAGAGGCAATACGGAGCTCTTGTCATGCTGTCATTTAATAAATTGTGACAATTTGAAAAGCTTAATTTGCACAGCAATTTAGAAGCTCAAAATTGAGTTGTGTATAAGTTTGTTTTTCTGAGCTTCTCTTCAGACAGCTGCTTTAAGGGGCAAACACTTTTGTTTTGCTTCTTGAGAAGCGAATCCACCTCTGAAAATGCGATTTCCCAAGATACATATCTGACCTACAAACTAATGTAATGGGCACAAACAGCCCCTCAAATCCGACACTCCCCCAGCTAACCAAGCCTCCACTGAGCCACGCTCACAAACGTGAAGTGGAATGTGTTAGTGCAAACCTTATCCAGTGAGGTTTAAACAAACACGTTTTGCCTAATGTTTGTTACTGACTAGAACTATGATTGAAAAAGTTCATCCAAAATCTAGATGATGTTTCGTAAGAAAAGTAGAACAAAAGTTTCAGCCCAAAAGAAACAGGAGACGTCCTTGTTAGCTCAGGGCGGTTTTCTCCCTGTACTGTGGGGCTTTTGCCACGGCCAGTGCTTTGGACAGCCATAGCCTGTCAGCCCTCACCTGCTACCGGTCCTCACTTGCTCGACTTTGCTATTTACAGATCCTTGACATTCTCTGGAGTGATCCAAGAAGCCAAAATGGCTGTACACCAAATAAGTGTCGAGGAGGAGGTTGCTACTTTGGCCCTGATGTCACTGCCAAGCTGTTTGAAAAGTATAATCTGAAGATGCTCATCAGGTCTCATGAATTTAAGCCGGAAGGTTATGAGATCAGTCACAATGGGAAGGTAAGATGCTTCCACATAAAGCAGAATTCTCCTGTGAATTTCACAGGCATATCCACAGTAGATTTGTCTGCAAAGTTAATTAAAAAAATGAGTGACTTCTTTAACGTGGGTTTGGGGGAATCGTGTGCTAGATCGATGTTAGAACACATTATGGAGTTCTGACCAACAAAACTCTTAACAGCTTCAGGGAGTGGGGACTGGCTCATTACTCATACGAAAACGAACGAACATCAACAAAATCCCAGAGGAGAGTTACGTGTAAATACAGTGCGAGAGATACTCTAAGGCTCTAGAAGCCTTTTAATGTAATCATTTCTCTTCTGGCCCTGCTTTCTGTGACATGCTGTATCAGAAGGCCAGCAACAATCCTGAAAACCAGGTCTGTCTTAGAAAGAGGTTTCTGTTTCACGGCGTGTTGTATCGCCCTGCCCTCTGAACTGTCGTCTTCCTATGACAGGCCAAAAGTACAGGCCTGGAGCTCTGACTCGAAAAGTGCAAGCAGTTTGGTGAAAGACATAGTTGTTGATCTCTGGTTTCATATGCAGACACTTAATTTTGTAACTGCATGTTTTTCTAAGATCAGATTCAGAAGTCAGTCTCGAGAAGAGTTGTTCTAGCCAATCCAGTTTCGTTCCTTCCTATCATCAGGTTATCACTATATTTTCTGCCTCTAACTATTACGAAGAGGGGAGCAACCGGGGAGCATACATCAAACTGAATCCTGAACTGATTCCTCGGTTTGTACAGTATCGAGTCAGCAAGTACACGCGCAGGCAGAATCTTCGGGAGAGGTAAAGCTGTGTGTTGTATGCAGTGAGCGCGTACTCACTTAGCAGGTGGGTACCTGCCACAGATCTATAGTTTGACTGACTAATTGAATAGGCACCTATTCTCCTTGGTTTCCCTTGTTTTTCTATTTTACAATTTAAAAATTAATACAGTAGACAAAACATGTTCCAGGTACTCTAACTTGGTTTCCTGAGAAACTCCCAAAGGTAATTAGACGTGGTAAGCGGTTAGAACAGGCAATTGTCAGGGACTCGTAAAGGGCCTGCGCCCGTCTGTCAGGTCTGCTCTAAGGCTGCAGCGTTAATCTGGACAAATCCTGTTATCAATTGAGCCCAAAAAGTCCATCGTGACAGCTTTGCCATGCCTAGCACTGTGCTCCGATTTACTAAAGCAAAGCAGCTTAGAATTACCTGCATAAACTCGATTATCTCCTAAGTTCAGATTAGTCTTATGGGGCTTTGTTTGTTTCGTTGGTTTGGGTTCTTTTTTCCCCCGGTGTTGTCTTTTGGTGACCCTAAACACACTACATGTTAAAGGATATAAGAATTTGATATGGAATGTTGAAAGGCATAAAGTACTAGAGGATTTAAATCCTTTAATGATCTGCTCTGCATTTTTTTTCTCCTAGGGTGGGTACAATTGAATCTTCTGCCTTAAAGTCCTTACGAGAGAAGATTTATGCTCACAGGTCTGAACTCACGAGTGCTTTTGCACAGTATGACCTCAACGGCACAGGTAACCCTACCTCTGTCCAGTTGCCACCATGGGGAAAACAGCTTGCGGGGAGAGGGGACAAGCCCCACGGAGAGGGGTCCTGCCTGCCAGAGCAAGGCCGGAAGGCAGCAGGCGCTGGTTGATCTTGCGTTCTTCCTGACTACAGAGGAGGACAGGTGTCAGCAAGTGCTTAGCCCCGAAAACAACTTGAGGGGATGAAGCTTTGAGGAGGTAGAAGAAAACAACTGAAACACATGGGCAAATAAGGAAATGGTGTTTGTTGTTGGGCAGAGAGTTGGGGCAACAAATCCAGCTCCAGAAGCTCAGCGGTCACCACCTTCACTTAGGAGTGTCTTCAGATGTCAGACAGGGAAGTGGGGTCTCAGGTGAGGGGGAACTGGTCCCCTTCTGAGTCTGGGAGATAGCTGAGCACAGCTGACTGGCTATGCCACTAGGAAAGACACGCTCACCCATCAGCTGAGGAGAAGTCGGTGGTAAGTTGATACATGAACCTTTTATGTAGGAGCAAGGAGTTAGTGATTTCTAGCACAAATACAACTTTTCCTCATGGTGGCTTCTCGCTAGACTGGGTTGTCATCGGTGCCCCTAAAAGGGCAATCGGTAAGTGCTGGTACTGTTTCTTTGGCCACTGAACAACTGTTTAACAGTTAGATATGTTAGTCTGTCTGGTTGGGTTTTTAGCGACATAGGTCTCTACTTGCAGTTCAGCTCAAATCTGAAGTACTCTTCATGGCATAGTCTGGTTTTCCCAAAAGGTATTAAAACACGCTGACCATCATAAATAGCATCACAAAGTTGTTGAGGTTGAAAAACGACCTGTGGAAATGTCTAGTCCAACCTCATTGGACTAGCTCATTGTTACGAAAGTTTTTATCCCAGGGTTAGGAGAAAATATTTGTGTTTTGCATCTGTTCTTAACAACGGCAGAAGACATGCTGGTGACCAATTTGTGCTGTGTCACATGCCGCTTGTGACCATGAACCGCCTCCTTCCGGCAGGTAAGATTTCTGTCAACGACTGGGCTGCAGCGATGGAGTCTGTCCTACAGCTGGAACTGCCCTGGAGGATGCTGCGGCCTCAGCTGGCACAGATGAACCCAGATGGAGAAGTTGACTTCATGTCATGTTTTTACGATTTGAAGATAGGTCAACCGATAAAAGAGGTAAGGAGGAGAACGCCTCCTCGCAAATCTTGGAGGAATAGCGTCTGCGCAACGTGAGGCACAAGACAGTGGTTTGGCCAATCAGGTAGACAGCTACAGCTGAACTAGTTGCCGAGCTTCCTTTTATAGTCACTGGTGGGAAACGAGCACTGCTAGGGTACGAATCGTCATTCCCTGCTAAGGTAGATGCTTAAAATAGGTTGGATGAATCACATGCTAGAACTGCTGCTTACTTTCTGTTGACTCTCAAGGGCGTTTAGATAACGTAGCTGAGGAGATGCGACAGATCCTACCCAGAGCGCCCAACCCTCGCTCTTTGAGACGAGCTTTTCAAACGTGCTCCGGAGCCAATTCAGGCACCTGCAGGAGGGGTCACATTTGTAGATGGACTTGTAGATGGCTAACGGTAGCTGAGGGCTCTTCTGCAGAGTCGGTTGTTACTGAGTGGCTGCCCAGTGCTTTGTTACTTCACCGTCTCCATCATTTTTCTAAACAGCTTTGTAAGAGTGCGTGGCGTACAGCATCCGCCCTAGATTATCCGTATTTCCACAAATAATTACTGAAGGTAGGAGGTGTGAAGGGCTCCTTCCCCCCCTGCCCTGCCATCTGAAAGTGACAGCTTTTAACTGATGATTCCTCAGGGCGAGACACACAGTATCATTCCAGGGAACTCGAGCATAAGGATTTTTTTTTTTTTTTAAACATCTGAGAAGTTAAACTGGGAGCATAGATTTGGATAGTACACGTTCTGTTGGTTAGACTAACTCAAACCGCGGTCTGACTGGTGTCCTGTATGGGATTTCCAAACCAGGTTCAGCCAGCTTTGGTGGAAACACTGTGCAGGTACAGAAAGGATCTGGAGATCATCTTTAATGTCATTGACAAAGATCACTCAGGTAAGTCCAGGTAACCGCGCTGTAGCAGCTCTAGGAAGCCTATACTAGTTATCTTTCCCCACTGTGTTTCCTCCTTAAGGCTTCTAAATATAGAGGAACCAGAGGTGATGTCATTTTTCCAGTTTAGTCAAGACTAATTTAAGCAGTCAGGCTGTAACCATGTAAGGGCTGTGCACAGAGCCGAACTTGAGAAAAAATTCTCACATATCCCGTCTCCAGTACTGGCTTCACTCTTCTGGGGGCTTCTTCTCCCTTCCGCTCTCACTCTCAGTATTTGCTGCTTTCTCAGTTCCGCTGCTGAAAGCACTCGATCATTACCTGCAGCAAAAATGTACTTCAGTTGCGATCCCAAAACACAGCCAAGCCACGGTACGCAGGTAACTTTCTTGCAGTGAAGGAGTGCGCATGCATGCCTGTGTGTACGCAGGAGGGGGAAACAGCACTGGAAAAAGCCATCTGCCGTCTGTTTCCTTCAGGTCTGATTTCTCTTGAGGAGTTTGGCCAGACATGGAAGCTCTTCGCTTCTCACCTGGGCATCGACGTGTACGATGACTCCTTTGACAAGTTAGTCCTCAGCATAGACTACAACAAAGATGGCCACATTGACTTCAACGAGTTTTTGGAGGCCTTTCACGTGGTTCACAGACTAGAGAAAAAGGCAAACTCATGAAAAGGCAGAACGTGGCGTGGGCTGTCTTGGAAGCTCACTGGCCCGTCAGTAGCCATAAGCGGTCTGGCAATTTCCAGACTGACAAACAATAAATGGGCTGCTCGACAGGGTAAGCGCTGCGGTCACTGTGGAAGCCTTTATTTAGTCCCTTCTGGCTGCTATAGACCTGCTGGCCATGAGATGGGTGAGAGAAAAACCCACTGCTTATAGTACGGCTCTGTCGCTGCCACACCGGTACCTTGCAATTTATCCTCCCCCGTGGTGGCATCTCCCCCATCAGTCTGAGCTGCAAACACGCCCAGGTCGCACCTACGAGCCCCTGGGAAGGGAAACTTGGTACGGTTCTTTCAGCAGGCCTGAGAGACAGCTGAGAAAGAGCACTGGTGACCACAAGGACCACATCACACCCTCCCTGAGGACGTAATGGGCACGACGGAGGCCTCCCGTGGGCTAGCCACGCCAGCAGAGGAAAACAGGGAAGAACCATCTAGTTCAGAGGTAGTTCTGCATTTAATCCCGCTCTTTGCATGATGCAGTGAAGTCGAACCATTCCAGGTCACTCTCCGCTCTCCTTGAAGTTTACAGACACAGCTTACAGGATCTTAGCTGAAAGGCGGTCACGCTTGCGCCACCTTTCCTCTTGCGACTGGTAACTTTTGCCTGCGTTGTTTGGGTTTGGAGCTAAGAAACAGTCATAACTCATCACCTTAATGACGGCTAAATCACAGCATGTTAATGTGACATACAACAGATCACAAAATAAAACTTTAGCTTTCACCGTAATGGATAAGTGCGGTGTCTTTTTTGCCTGTATTTTGGTATCCTACACCGATCAGAGTAGAACACGCTTTTCCTGAAGATTAACCGGACTGCTCGAGAATGAGAGATGAGTAAGAACACAAAAGTAAACACATTTTGATACTACCGAACCTAAATATTCTTGCATAGAGTTAAGCAGAAAGTCTTTACCAGGTAAACTACAGTGAGAAAGCCTGAAGTTGAGTTTTTGGAACACCGCAAGATGGAAGAGTCCCGTGCTCCCGGCCTCCCCCCTTCCCGCACGTACCATCCCCTCCGCTCCCGTGGGGAGAGCAGGGGGCCCGGACCCAACTCTCTTGCCTGTTGGGCTCTGACAGCAGCGCACCGAAGGGCAGGGAAGCGCAGCCAGAGCAGGAGCTTTTTGAACACAGTGTTACCTAACTCAGCCTTAGTAAAGACAATGTGCACAAAGTGCTTTTTGGGTAGGAAAAGGTTCCGGCCTTGCCCATCTTTAAATTTTAATAGCAAAAGATAAGCTAAGTAAAGTAGCTACATTTTATTTAAGAACAGTGTTAAAAGTACAGAAAAAAAAAGCATCCTTCCCAGTTTATCATCACAGAATGTAACAGCAGCCCAAGCTTCAGGTACTGTGGTCCTTCTTAAATCCTGTTTTCTACAATTAAATACAAGATACTTTTCCACAAGTATTTTGTAACTTGACGGATGAATGAACAAACATGCACACACTTATTTCTGTTGGGGGGGAGGGGGGGCGAAAAATCTTCAATAATGCAAACAACATTTACAGTACAATTTTAATGGCATTGATAATATCAAATGTATATTTTTAGCATGCATTTATTCACATCTGTGGCCTGTGAGGGTCGGTCCCACCTTATTCCAGTGGAGTGACAAAAAGGCCCCACCTGAGGTGGACAAACACCACGGGGCGTGGGGGGATCTCGCCTCCCACTGTCGGCTTCCTTGCTGTGGGCACGAAGCAAGAAGGCGGAATGGGACAGGGCAGCTCTGGAGGCCTCCTCTGCCACCACCCCCAGAAGAGGGGGCACGCAGTAGGGCGCTCGAGCTCAGGAACGCGGCCGACGGCCTCCAGCTCCCGCGTCCCCTCTGGTGACGCCCTCCTGAAGCTACCCTAGCACGAAGCGGCAGGATGCTTGCCTCGAGGGACCGCTTCCCGAGGGGGCCGCAGAGGTAAGGATGCAGTGCAGCGCCTCACTCGGCGCCGAGAAGAGGCTGTCGGGGATGCAGCGCTGAAGTGTGAGAGGCGCTGAGTCATCGCGCCAAAAAAGAAAGAGCCGGCCCTGTCACTGCTGGCGGCAGAGGAGAGCCCCGTGCCCCGAACAGAAGAAGGGGGGGTGGCGGGGGGCAGTAACTGTGAAACATCCAATGCCAGGAATAAAAGCCACTCGGGACTAAAACTGGGAGTGGGAGAGAGCCCAGCTACTGGTACTTAAATCCAAACCGTTCGAGCAGAGGCTTTTCTTCCATAACCCCCACCCCCGAGAGCAGCCCCTTGGGCAGGGACTGGCTCAGTCTGCAGCCGCCTGCCCAAGCTCTTGCCCTACAGGTGCAGTCCCGCCCTGCGCCACCCGTGGCAGCTCTCCCACGTCGGGGCAACTCTGCGCCTCCCTCCGGGCTGCACCACCACGCGCCCAGTGCTGGGCCTGGACTGACCCAGCCTCCGCTTCGCTCAAGCCCCCAGCTGCTGCCTGAGGGGTGACACAGTCCCACAGCGCCCCGCGCCCGCCGGGCTGTGGCCCAGGGGTCTCACTACCCGCCCTGCAAACTGACCGGCCCTTTTTATGACTGCTAGGGACCGCGCAGCTCACCTTCGCCTCCCAGGAACAAGCAGGGCTCTTTCCCTGAGCAAGGAGACCACAATTCGCAGGACAGAAGCTAACGGTTCGTACCCAGCCAGTACGTTTTCACATCTACTTGCAGGAGCAGCAGCAGAGGGGGATTAATGCCACTTTTCATCTGCCCCGTTTGACAAACTCGCATCCTTCGCACAGCAGCAGGGAGAAGGAACCGGCCATGAAGTGGCGAGCAGGGAGGGCGCTGGCCTGGAGGAGCCGGGTTGGGCCCAGCATGGGGTACGTGCTCCGAGCTGGACACGGCTGTGTGCCCCTGGCCAGCCCCGTTTTCCGCTTGCAGACATGCCCGGCTGCCCCACAGCTGGGTAGGTCCCTCTGTCCCCGCAGCTGCAGACTGCTTAGGGCAGCAGTGCCCATCAGACTGGAAAGACCAGTCAGGTGGGTCTGTTTTAATTCATTAACACCCTTACTTCTGAGGCACACCGTGTTTACCTTTGCCTTCTTTCCATAAATGAGCTTCCAGGGACTGGAAGTTGGCCATGTCATCCTCTGCTGGCTCCCCGGGGAAGCCTGGCAGCCAGGTCGCCCCTAGGCCAACTAGCGCAGCCCCACGCCAACAGCAAAGTCAGCCTGTATTTTAACTGGGAGCACACCCTCACGAGCACCGCCAGTGCTAGCTCTGCTTTCCAACAGCTTCACACACACGGGCAGATCCTCAGCAAAGCAGGGGGGTCTATATAAAACTTTATTTGCTTAATTAAGTTTGCACTAAAATGTGACTCTCCAATTGGAACGGTTCTTTGCTCGGAGCAGTAACGCAGCAGCAAGTTGCAGCTGTGCCCGACCCGGAGGCAACGCGAGTTTCCCTTCCGTTGGCCTTGCGTTTCAGAATCCCACCGTTCACGACCAGCTACCTCAACCCTTCAAACTGCCACATAAATACCTGCCAGGTGCCTGCGCTCCATGTGATAAGTGACCATGATGATCGGAAATACACCAAAACCTAGGTCATACTATGAATTTCAAACTCAAGATAGCAATGCTACTCCCATTAAAAAAAAAAAAAAAAAAAGGCGTTATGGGGTGGCCAGGTATGTTTGGCCATAGGCTCAATTCCTTCAGAGTTCAGTGCTGCATGTAAAACCAACTACATCACCCTTCTTGCTTCTGAAAACAAGATCACACTGGAGGTAAAAAAAAAAAAAAAAAAAAAAAAATTAAGAGTCTGAGGGAAAATCATCTTGCATTTCTCACAATCTAGGATTCACCAAGAAAGGCAAAAATAACTGCTACTACTGCCTTTTCATACGATACCGGATAGAACAAGAAACCATCACACACAGGCTCTTGCGTGCTCACGCTCTGCACTGTCACATCTGTCTGCTTAAACCAAAGGATTTTACTTTCATCTACTGGGAAACAAGCTAAGTGATCTCTCACAATACAGAGGAAAAGGGAAAAAAACCCAAACCAACCATAATGAAGGCAAACCCCTCCAAAACAGGCACCATGCCAATAAAATGACTTCCACATCCAAGTGCTAACTGTACCTGAAGTGTACCTTTACACTAGCCCCTCAGCGGGCCCAGAGTTTTCACGGTGGTTAGCACAGTACCCGCCTCTCTCAGAGCACCCAGGCCAAGGGCTCCTAGGCCCTTGGGACTGCCAAACTCTCCCAGTCTCTGCAGAAACAACATGAAATCACCTCCTGAGGCCTCCCACACCTTCGCTCTCTTGAGCCAGCGTCCAGACCTTGTTACAGCAGCAGCAACTCCACAGAGGGACACCAGGCGGGGTGGCACCGCCACCAGGAGCTTAGCCTCCCCGGGACCATGGCGCTGGAGACTGGCAAGCGAGCCAGGGGTTTACTTCCCTCCTTTCATCAAGGTATTTCAGGTATCTGTATAAAACTGGAACCAAAAACCTTGTTCTCAAAAGCACTACGTACTATTGTTAAAAAAAAAAAAAAAAAGTTTTCAAATCCTGTAAAAATGGCATAGTTGTTTTGAAAGAGTGGAGGGGGGTCTCACAGAAATATGCTTATCAGGCTTAGTAGCACAGAAAATACTTTTTACAGGCCGTATCTGCTCTTTCCCCCTCTACCTGGCGAGACAGAATCGCTCTGATCCTCCCTGCTCGCACGGCAGCAGGGCCAGCACACCGCCGTGCCGCCGCGGGAGAGGCTAAAGCTACAGCCGCTTTCCTAAGCTGTCAGCCAGACGCGTGCTGGCTGGTGCCAAAACCAGCAGCGCCGGCACAGGGAAAACTGCAGCCGACGCCTGGGGTAAATCAGGGTTTTCCCCTCCAGAGGCAGCCGACCTGCCTTCAGTTTAAATGGAGGCATTTCCCCGCAGGACACACCTATTCTCCTTGCAGCAGCTCGGAGCAGCCGCAGAAACTGGTTTC